ATAAAACAGAATTTTCTGTAACAATGTAAAAGTCTTTACTTTCACTTTTTTTTTGGAGGAGGCACGGATGGGGTATGAACCCGTGATCTTCGGTTTATGATACATTACTGTCACTTTTGATCAGTTTAATGCATCCTTGCTGAATAAAAGTATTAATTTCTTTAAAGAAAAATAAATAAATAAATAAATAAATCATGCTAACCCCAAACTTTTAAATGGCAGTGTACAGATTTTACAGGTAAAAAATAAAATAGAATAAATGATATAAATGCATTTCTCATAAGGTCTGTATATGTCTTAACCCTGAAGAATTCTTTGAGTTGAGGGCTGTTGTACAGAGCAGGAATATTTGTAGTGAAGAGCAGCATGGCCTCAGTTGCTTTCCTCCTCTCTTCAATCACAGCCTCATCAAAACGCCCTGTGAGAGCGAGACACAGAGAAATAAATGACAAAACAGAGAATAGAGACAGGAGAGGGAGATGTTAGACAAATACAAAAAAACAGACTTACAGTCATAAAAAATGCAACTGAAATTATTATTATTTTTTTTTTTTAAAGAAGATGAACCAGGTCATAAATCTTTTGTTTGCATCATGTCTCAGCAATTCCGTTGACCTTACCAAAAACCTGAGCTCGTGGAAAAGGGGGAAACTCCTCTTGTCGTCTGAACAGGTTCCTATGAGTGTACGCCAGCTCTCCATGTAATTTCTTCAGCTCTGAGTACCTCCTCCACACCACAACCTGCCAATCAAACCAACAATGAGCCCAATGCAACATGCACAAATGCAAAAACACAAGGATAATCATACCTCTTTAACATTCGCCGGCTGTGTCTTTGATACAAACTGTGGAGAAAGACACAGATAAGTGAAACCACATTACACCAAAGGGAGAGGATTTGAAAGGGCTGATTATTAGAAGCATGAATGAGGAAGGGGGAGACTGGGGCATGAGACACTGGAGTCACGTGACCTCATTCCAGACTGTTTAAATCACGAGTTTCAAAGCAAACCAGATTAGCAATGCCTTGTACTAGTAGCTATTAACACTCTCTATGAGGATCAGTTATCTTGATATATTGTTTCTGTAGTTATGAAGCACAGTTTATCAAAGTGTACAAAGCAGTTGACGAGTAAATGATACATATCTTGGTTATTTAGAATATTAATAAATAAGATAACTGGAATCAACACAACAGTCCATTCAAAACAAAATAATTCCTCTCTGTGGTATTGAGATTTGATCTTGCTACTAACCCTTGCTGTTACTTTATATTCCGTGTGTCCTTTCTCGTGTGTGCGTGGATCTGTCGCAGTGAAAGAGCGGTAATATTCCTCTTTTTTGGTCTTTCGAGACATCACTGTCACATATATGTTTAAATTTACAGTAAAATCAATATGGGGACAGAATCAAGCGGCTGTGACTGGTACTGTGTTGGACTGTTGTCAGTTTGGAACAGATACTTCCTGCTTTGTGGCGCGCGCATGCGCAGACTGATAACAGCTGATATCCCTTTCAAAATACAGGTCAAGTTATGATTTTTGTCTATGGTGTCTTCACTGAACGTGCTGATAAATGAAAGCGTTTGACCCAGTTGTGGACCAACAGCAGTAAAGAAGACATCCATGTGGGCGCCTTTGTTTAGGGAATATTTGCATGAGTGTGTACACTGATAGTTTTTAGACACATGATAAATAAAATAAAATAAATAAAATAATTATGGGACTATGTAAGTGCAATGTATTTGTAATCAAGTTATATCAAACCATCGTGAGCCTGCCATTTAGTGAAAATTATTTTATATGAAACTGTTATATTTTTTATATATTTTTCACATTTTATGTTGCAGCCTTTATGCTAAAATGCTTTTAAATAATTTTTTTTTCAAATACAAATGAACAAAAAAAAACTGAAATAATAAAGTATTAACATAATAAAAGATTAAATATTATTATTTAACAAAACTATACATTGCATACACCATTTTGTTTAATATTTCTATAATATTTCTATATATAAAAAAGGGTTTGCACCTTTCACATAGGCTATGAATGTAGCTCAAAGTGCAGGTCAGAATATAACCATTTTATTTACAGTTTTTCTCAATTGCTTTGGCACATTTTTCGAAACAATCTTAAGATAGATAGATAGATAGATAGATAGATAGATAGATAGATAGATAGACTAAATTATTAATAATTCTTATTTACTTCACACATATTAAACCAAGGATGAGACGGGCCTCATTTACATGCCCAGCATGATGCCCATAGCGCTGACATGCCCACCTCTCCTTTGTAAATGTTAATGGTCACCCATTGAGACGGCCAAGTCTGAGTAATTGCCCTCTGAGATCTCGAAGTCTTGGTTCATGTGTGGGATTTAGACTAATGTCACGTATAGCTGCAAACATATTTGATATCATCCACACACACGAGTATCAAATTTGATCAGATAGTCAGGACCTCTCATTCTCTGTATATGCAATGCAGTCAACTAAATCACCAGAGATGGAAGATGGTGTGAAATAATGACTTAGCAGGCCTATTAACATTTGAGTCACTTCGCATCATTAATTCCTGAGTCTAACAAGGACCTCATAGTGAGAACAAGACACAGAAATTCATGGATCTTCAAATTACAAGTGACACCACACGCCTTACCGGAACATAATAGCATCATCACCCTGTCATAATTAACACCCTACCAGTTCATTAGTACCTTGCCACTGAAGTTAATAACATCTCACCTGTCAAAAAGGAGTATATTTCAGTCCTAGACGATCCATTTTTACATAATATATCATTGCAAATGACAGAATTGATAAGGCTTCTGATGCAAAAGTAACACCTTGGTGTGACCTTATCAAACATCTTTCCTACTGGGTCTGGGAGTCCCTCCTCACGCACAAATGTCTCTTCACCCTTTACCCCTGCTCCTCTACACCCACACACCACCACCATCTTCCTTTGTGGTTATGTTTCGACCAATACATGCTCTCTAATCGACCCCAGGATCCCACCTTTGGTGCCTATAAAAGCCTGTCCTTAAACCCCTCTAAAACGCAGTGTTTTACATTCCTGAAAAGATGTTCTCCCCATTACAGGTGGTTTTGGTGACTCTGTCCGTGTCTTTGCTGCTTTGCAGCGTCAGTTCGGCACCAAGAGGAGACATGATGCTCCAGCTGCTACGATCAGAAGTGGATCCCAAGGAGAATGAGGCAAGACAGAAATTGTTTTTCAAAATTCGATGTTTGATTCAATCTGTTAATTGTTTCTACACCATTTTTCAGTGTACAATGAAAAAAAAGGTAAAAAAAGTTTTTTGTTTTTTTTTAAATTGTAAATAAAAAAGATTATTGGAGTATGTTTTACAAGAAATTACTATTTCAGTTTAATTTCATGTTTAATTTAATGTGTTACTTGCCATTTCTTTATAACTAATTGTAAATTTGACTATGAATTTGTGATTAAAAATATTTTCAAAGCCATTTTTTAGGATTTTGAAAAAAAAAATCTTAGAAATTGCTAGTAAATTTGGTAACACTTTACAATAAGGTTTAATTTATTAACATTAGTTAACTACATTAGTAAACATGAACTAACAATGAAAAATACTTCTAAACCATTCATCAATCTTAGTTCATGTTAATGTCAACATTTAGTATAGTTGACGAATTGTATTTTTTACATAGATTAATAAATGCTGCAACAAATGTATTGCTAATTTTTAGCTAATGCACTAACGTTCATGGGACTTGGCTTGCGAAGTGTTACCATAAATTTCAGCTGTTGGCTCAGTTCTATTAAATACTTCAGATACAACTTTTGATTTTAGTAATGTATTACTAAATATTGAAATTAACATTAAGAATAATACATATTTTAGAAATATTTTGCATGTAGTTATATAATGTTAATAAATAAAACCTTACTGTAAAACGTTGTCAAATTTACTAGCAATTTCTTAGTGAAAATTGTTGTCACTCAGAAATTGCTAATAAATACCACAAATAATTACAAAGAAACAGCAAGTAACACATTGAATAAAATGTGAAATTTCAAAGTAGAAAGAATGAATGGTATTTTATTGTAAAACATACTCCAATAATCTTTATTTACACCTTAATTACATTTGTTTTTACAGTGCACTTAGTTGGGAAGGTAATGTCCGTGTAAATATAGAAAATAATAACATGCATGTCTAAGTACCAAAGCAAGTTCAAATTCGAGTCTTGTTTTTCTTTTTGACAATGAAGTTTCTGAATCTTCATTCTTTTCTCTCTTCAGCTTCAGGATCTCTCTCGTTTGCTTCTTCTGAAGCAGCTTTCTGAGTCGGTGGCACCTGAGGAGAAAAATGCTCTTGAAAGCATTGATGATCTTGAGGCTCGTAATGAAGTGGTCCGCCAGATTCCCCTCTCCCAACGAGAATGCAAAGCAGGCTGCCGGAATTTCTACTGGAAGACCTTCACCTCTTGTTAATCAACCTGCTTGGTTTAAAATTTCAATACCCTTTCAACATTGTTAAACTTGTGTAGGCATCAATATTAAGAGGATTTCTGGTCCTGTGCATACATCATGGATTGTAATAACCAATCTATATGTTCTTCAGTTTCTCCTCTATCTTACACCATCTGTATTAACCAAGAATATTCTTAAATTCACCAGCACATGACACCAGTAATACTATTCCAGTACAAAGAGAGTTTATGTACTGTATGCTATAAAATATTTGTTTTATGGGTACTACTAGAATTGACTGCCAGTGATTATATTAAAGTTTAAATTAAATTGAAAAAATCTTGATATAGAGGTTTTTGTGTTGACCATGCAACAATGTCATTGGATTGCCTCTGTAATACAGCGTGATCAGTGAAAGTGTGCTTATGTGTGATTGGTTCTATGCGATGTAATGCAAACAGCAACTGTCATTTTTTTTCCCACAGTTCATCAAATCATAAATCAGAACAATGGCCAGTACAAACTAGAAGTCAATACACATTTGCAGTAAAAACAGATGAATTTATAAAACTGATCCTTTTCTCTCCCTACAATCAACAACAGAGAAAAAAAGCAAACTCATCCAAACATGCCCTGAAATAAATTGGCAGCTTACAAAGTAAATCAGCCATTAAAACAGACTGTGCAGTACGAGGACACTTTATCAATTAGCAATCATCTGCAATGACAGGTTTAGAAAAAGTTTTTTGGCAGCAAATTGACCAGATGGCACTATGTTGGAATAATCTTACAAACTATTCCAGACAAATCAATAAATAAAGCATGCAACCATCTGAACCACTTTATGCTTTTAGTTTCTTGATAATTGCAATCATTCATCAGCACAAACACCAGCACTTAATTATTTTGCTTCAAACAATCAACACCTTATTTGAAACCTTTTTTATATAATAGCATTAAGCAATGGATGCTCGCTGCTACACATTATTCAAATAACAAGACAATTAAAAATGCATTTTGATATAATATAAAGCAAATCCAGAAAAGGAGACGTAAAAAAATAAAGCAAAATCAGTAACAATCTCTGTGTAACAATCTGAAAGTCATTTCTCCAGTACGTACTTTTCCTTGTAACCTTCATACTTGACCATTTACCTTCTGTTAGGCATTAATCAATGTATATTTAGTAACAAAATTGCGACTAAGTTCCTTGATGTTATGAGAAACGTTCTGTTTCTAATAAGAAGCCACATTTGTCCTTCATCTAACCTAGTAGATTCCTTTCCATAATCGCTCTCTATTTCTCTCACTATTCAAACTCCTTGAAAATGATCCACCCTGCTGCCATGTAGCAGAAAACTCAATTACCTGACAGCAGCTACACAGCTTTAAAATGAAATCAACCACTTTGATCCAACACACACCTGTCAAAAGATTTCCTTCACTGAAGCGGTCATTAAATACACTGACCCTTCATTCCTATCTGACAACACGTCTCTTGTAACAGTTTCAGAAATCAGCATAAACCTAGAGCTAGAGACTGCAGGGAAATCAGAACAAAACAGCTGCCCGTGTTAAACTTTTCCCACCTTTTTCCCAGAATTCTCATTAGCATCATGATGAATGCAATGACAATGAACCAATATCAAGCCAGTAAACGAAGCACAGTAATAATATCCTTCAACAATCATGATTTCAAGTATTAAAATAATGAGTTTTTGTTTTTGAGAGGATAAAAGAACAGAGATGATCTGAATGGGGACAATATGAAGTGACCCCAACTGCCAGCAGAATTGGGGCATTATTTGAGGAAACTGTCATTTTTACTATATTTCCATTGAAGGTTATTTTAGTGTTCTAAAAGTGACTGCTTCTCCAAAGGAAGAAATGCACCCTGTTCACAAGACTCACATTTTGTATGAACACACATACGCTGAGGATTATACACAAACATCATCATATTTCATTCACCACCTGTTTTTCTATATTCTCGAGGAAACAGTTTTCCAGTGAAACTACTCTAAGCACAAGAGCTATTTTTTCTCCTCAGCTCTATGCTACCCTGAGAGGGACGTCTTCATATTATTTGTGCGATCAACACGTAAAGTCAAGGATGGAAGAAATGCCAGGTGGTGGATGTTTAGATAGTGGTACATTCTGAAGAATAACCATGAAGGAGAGAAAGGGCACAGAGTGACGGGACAGGGGCATTAGCAGTCAGTGGAGATTTTGGCAGAAAGATCTTGGATGCGACGGGCGCTGCAGCTCTTGCACAGAATGTGTCCGTCTAGGGGATAGCAGCCTCTTCCCTCGCCCTCTGAAGAGAGGAGAAGACCACAGTCCTGCAACCCAAACACAGTTTTCTTTAGCACTAATTTAGTCCATTTCACTTATTATTATGCATTTACATAATTTCACATTCAAAATTTTATTTTAAGTAATTAATCTTATAGTATTATTCATGCAATTGCAACTGCAGTGTAAATGCATTCATGCCACCTCTGAGCTGCATTTAACAATGTGTAAATACATCTGAATGTGTAAACAGACAGCTTCTGTGTCACCTCTGCAGTGCAAAGATGGCTTTTGTTGATGCTGATTTCATTTGATTTGTTAACAGCCCTGTAAGTGTGTAATTATTCTAATTTACTTAAGGCACAACACTACAGGCAAAACAACTTTTTATTTTCAGGCACTGGCTATTTTGCTTCCATAATTTGTCTTCTTTTACAATAGTGGAAAAAAGCATCCAAAATCCCAAATTTTGCATAGCTTTGCTGTAGAATACCTTTAAAGGCAGTTTTCTCAAAATTACTTCTAAAAATATATTATATCTTAATTTCAGGAGCACTTACATAGATCAACCTTTCCACTTTTATGGCTATCTATATTCTGAAGGCGTTTACACAGGGATTTGTTCAAATATCATTCGCATGATATATATTTATCATTTTATGCCTAAAAACACTGTAAAAATGATTTTTTTCCAGACGTTTTTTTCTGATTTATGGAGTGATAAAATGAAATATCCAATATCCCCTTTGTAAAAAAAAAAAAAAAATCCTATCCAATGTTCAGATTTCAATTCTGGACATTTATGCAAATTTGTGCATATTTAATTAGAAAATGCCTCATCTGCATATTTACACATTACATTTTTAGATAATTTGTAATACAAAACAATTCTGGGGAAAGTATGGTGATACCTATCTATAATTACCCTATTCACCTGTAGTGTCTTGCCTTAATTGATTGAATGTAAGAATTTGACAAAAGTGAGGCACACATTTAAAAAGGTCAGATTATTTTTCCTTTTTATTTATTATCCTAATTATAATTATCAGCTAAATCACAACAAAAAGTGAAATATTTTTCAGTCAAATTTCACTCGCCCCTAAATGCAACCGAACTGAAAACAAAAGGTTTCAAATACAGAGTTTCTGCATTACATCCATAATTTAACAACAAACACAAAATTTATGGCAGCCTCAAAGTTCTTACCTCACATACGTAGCAGTTAACATGGAAACTGCGATCCAGTGCAACGATCCTGACTGTCTCCTCCTGCCCAGGCTCTGGCATTATGGGCTGGCCACATACTGAGCAGCGGGGAGCAAACTTCCTGTTCAAAGCAGCAGCAAACAAGGTTTTAATAATAAAATCCATGTAGTAACTGGTCAGACATTTGGTAGAACCTCATATCCATTCAAAAACAGCAAAGATTTAGTGGGGAAAAACAACAAGGCATTCCACTATCTGCATTTGATTGTAGAAACAGAGACTTCACACCACACAGAAACAGAAAAAAAAAGTTGCTGAGTACCTGTGAAAGTCCTCAATACAGTGGATCTGAGATGTGGCATCTACAGTAAAAGGCACTCCATCCAGGCAACAGCCGCAAACCACACACGTGAAACAGCGAGGGTGGTAAGCCTTTCCCATCGCCCTCAGGATCCGGTCTAGGATCGGCTCCGAGCATTTCGAACAGCGCTCAAGTGTGCTCTGTGAGCAGAGAGGAAGAACAAGTGAGAAAAGTTTGAATGTCGAAAGAAAAAAACATACAATAAAGGGCAGAAACCAAGAGAAGTTGACAGATAAATAGAACTCACTATGTAGCAGCTCTCGCAGTAGCTCTTCCTGTCTAGTGCATAGAAGGGCTGGCCTCTCAGACGGGCATGACAGGTGATACAGGTGAAACACTCCACGTGAAACACCTGCTCCATGGCAATACAGCCACTGCCATCTCCCAGAACATTATCCCCACACCGAGCACATCGACCTGAGAGAAAGACAGCGAGAGAAATCCATTACACCCTGATTGAAACATAAAATAAGTAAAAGCAAAAGCACAACAATGAGGATGTAAAATATTGGAGCATACCAAAATATTCCTCAGTAGGGGGATGATTCATGTCATACACCAACTTCTTGGTGAGTCGTTCCAACTCTTCCTCATGATGTGGTGCTGCCCCCTGCTGGCAGAACATAAGTATACTGGACATATGAAACATTTTTACTGTTCACTTTGTATATATTTTATCTTTCTTATAAAGATGCATTCTTTATAGTCTCATGCTTTCTGCCGAGTTAAAACACACAAAATCACACTACCTCTCAGACATGTTCACAACCCTTGTGAAATCAAAGTGCAGTTAATTGTATTACATGTACATTTGTAGTGTGCTTCAAATCTTAAAAGTCTATTGTCAAAAAATGTACTTGCATATAATAAGATTGTTTCTTAACACTTAATTTAAGTAAACATTTAAAAAAATTACTACTAACGTCAAATTAAAAGTTTTACTTTAAGGTACATTTTAAATCATCTTTTTTATGTGCTTTAAAGAAGTACATTTATTTTGATGTGTTGACTAGCATACTAAAGCACGTGTAAAGTACTTGTAATTGTAACTGTAATGTGTTATTCAATAGAACATTTAAAGTAAATATTTTAAATGTGTAATTACAAATATATTTAAATACAAATTTCAACAGAAATTACATTACAGTGTATTTTAATTTACCATAAATGCTTGTCACTTAAACCATATTACAAAGACAAACAAGTCATCACGCAATTACATATAAAGATGTTATATTCTTATGTCCTACTTAAGCACTCTAAAAAGTTTAGCTAATTGCATTCAATGTAAATGTAAACTATAATACATTGTATTTAATTTGCATTGAAGGACAATTAATATTATATATTTCTTGAAATGTATTGTTTTGAGGGATGTCCATAATCAGAAATTGTGTGTTCATATTCATGACATAAATTTCCATCTCTGCTGCAACTTGACAAACCAGCATCGACCTCACCGACAAATAAGTCTTACCTTGTTAGACTGATATGCTGACACTTGGTCTTGACTCTTCTTCACCGGTGGTCCCTGGCCGGCTCTCCCTCCTGACATATTTCCTGATCCCCCCTTATAGGCAGCTGGATCTCCAAGAGGTTCTTGTGCAGGAGGTGGCGGCGCTGGGTACCAGCCTTGTCCCTGTGGCTCATAATGTGGCCGTTCTTGCTGAGGGGGGCGAGAGGCATGGTGGCAGGGTGGTGGAGGGGTGTAAGCTTGCTCTGCCTGCCGTCCGCTCTGAGAATAGGTGACGGGCTGAGCCGTTTTCACCTGTACGGTGAAGTGTGGACCAGTTGGGGTGGAGGCGGTGGTATAGGAGGCAGGCACTGGTTGTGGGTAAGGTTTGTGGACGGAAGAGGCGACGGAGGAGTAAACATAGTCTGGCTGAGGCGTAGAGGTGTAGGGTGGGACGGGGTGGTACTGGTTTTGGAGTGGAGGGGGGTAGCCCATTGATGGCCTGCTTGGTGGTGGAGCCCCCATCTGGTTGGGAGGGTTATAGCGGTCAATAGGGAGGTGCTTGCTGTAAGGCACATTGTCATACATCTGTTGAAAAAATGAGAATTTTTTTTTTTTTACAAACAAAAGTTTTAAACTTTCTTTTAAAATTAAAGATAAAGTTAAAAAAAACAAAACAAAAAAAAACCCAAAAACAGAATCAGAACAATTAGATTCAATGCAACAATACCACAAAACTAAACATTTCCTAAAGGCTAGAATACACTGCACAACTTTTTACATGACGATTTGAAGTCTGGATGAGTCAATGCTAGTGATTAAGCCAATCTGCATATTTTGAGCAGAGATTGGAGTTAACAGACTTCACAGAAAATCATGTAGAGTATGATGGGTAGTTTTTGACCAATATCGTTTTTTTAATGGCCGATGCCAATATCTCAGAGAGCAGGGTGGCTAATGGGTCAATAAAGCCGACATATATGATATCAAGCAAAAACCAAACACTATAATACTTTTTCATACAATGTTTACTTTCTTGATAAACAGTTCTGTCTAATAATTTATTAGACCGAGGCAGTCAACTATAGAAGATAGAAGCTGCCAAAATAAAACCCCCGCTTCCAACACATTGGTCAAAATTTGTTCAGATTTTAGTGTGTAGTTAAGTTGTGTAGTGTATTCCAGCCTTAACAAACACATTTACTCACTAACATACCAAAAGTGTACATTTCTTTAGCTTTTGTTTTAAAAGCAGTAGGTGTGTTGTACCTGTGTGCTTGAGTTCTGAGGGTGACTGTCCAGGTCAGCCAGCATGCATGTAAGAGAGTCTATCTCTGCGTCAATAGTAGAGATGTGCTTCTCTGATCCCCGATTCTGAGCAAACAACAGCCACAAACAAAACTCACATTTTAGACATTTAAGGAACACAATGCCTAAATGTCGGGGGAATGTTTTAAAAACAGATTTAAAGGAATAGTTCAACCAGAATTGAAAATTCTGTCATCATTTGTACATCCTCACGTTGTTCCAAACCTGTAACAATGTATGGTTCTCACTGACTTCCATTGTGTGGACAAAAAATGCATTAGAAGCCAATGGGAACCGAAAAGGTTTGGTTTCCAACATTCTTCAAAATATCTTCTTTTGTGATTTGCAAAAGAAAATAAGTCACACAGGTTTGGAAGAATGTGATGGTGAGTAAATGATGACAGAACATTCATTTTTGGGTGGACTTTCCCTTTTTTTCCTTATTTAGGGACATTTTAGGAATAATTGATTAATTTAATTATCTTTCAATCCTATTTAGAACAACACAACAAGTCCGGCTGAGAAATAATAATTATAAATGAACATGCAGGTGTCACTGACATGAAGTTCATGGCTGGCCATACGGGGGTTCCATGTGTGGTGGTCTTCTTTAGGCCCCTGGCCTGGAGCATAGTATCGTTCTCCTAATTGTGGAGACAAGGGGTGGTAGGTAGTAGACCCTGAGTGATCATCTTGATGCTGGTGTTGCATGGTTCCACCTGAGCACACAAAAATGAGTTCAGTTTACGAAGCACAAACTGTCAAATAGTATTCAAACATGTGTGTCTTAAGAAAAAATTCAAAACAGACAATATAATGAGCTTCATAAAATTGTGCTTTTCATATATAACTGTGTTTGTAAGGTTGACAATTTTAAACAGTTTTAACAAGAACCATGTCACATGTCAAAAGTTTTAAAGGGGACATCGGATGAATTTTTCACTTTTTTTGCATTTGGTTGGGTTTCTGGCGTGTCTGTCAGCTAAGAAAAGCTGAAAAGAAAACACGCAGCCAGTTTGTTATGGGCTGTCTGAGTCTGAAACTGTGTCATCCAGCAAGCGGTTTCAAGCTATTTGAATAAGACCACCTCCGAGCCATATACTGTATGGATATATTCACGTGTCTTGTTTTGTTTTAAATCTGTAATTTTCTGTCAATGTTTAGATACAATAACCCACAGATGTATCAGAAAACATCTGGGTCATTTTTGCACTTTCTTCTGTCACTGGCCATAATTCTAACCTCAAAATCAGGATTAGGCATAAAATATTGTCTCATCATACATGTGATAATAGGCAGAGATTTGAACAAACCATTATAACCTGGCTCAGACAAAGTTAGGAATCATGTCTTTGTGGCAGTTTTCTGGCGATTAAGGGAAAATGCAAACCTTATTCACCTTACAAATAGGCCTAGCTGTTGAAAGCTAAACATATTTTGTGAGAAAGTGCGAGACGCATGCAAGAGCAAAACAGGCACTTTTTTGGAATTATCACCTCAAAATTGGCAAAAAACAAGTATTGGATTTCATTCAGCAAATATGATGAGAGGCAGTGTAATCTATTTAAGATATTTAAATTCTAAACTACATGGATTAACTTGATTAAAATCCTTTTCAAGGGTATCAACAGAATGAAACAATTTTCTCAGAGGAGAAAACGTGATGCATAAATATGCACTATAAAAGTTTAAATGTTACTGTTATAGGGCTCTTACCTGAAGGTCCAGTAGCCATGTATCTTACAGGCATACCATTTCCTCCTGTTCCACCATTTTGGTCATACATGTTATATTTGGGCCTCTGGTCAGGTAGACCTTTCTTGGGAGGTCTGTAGAGAGCGGGGCCAGAGTGGCCAGAGTGTGACATTGGTGTTGTGGCTCTATATGGGCTACCCAGGGTTCTTGGAGGCAGCCAGTTTGGGCCAGACATACCAGGCTTCTACAAGGACAGCACAGAATGCAAATGATGTCACTGTTGTGTAACTTCTTTCATTTCAAAGTGTCTTATTTGTGCATTCTGAACATAATTACCGCAAACCTACGAGTTAAGGCCCTAAAGCAGTGCTGTCCAAGCTTGTAAAAATGCATAACTGTAACTACACAAAAAAGGTTGATGTTGGGTTTCCAGTGGCAACTCATGGTTTCCACGATAACAATAGGTGCCAAGTTAAAAAGCAGGAAAAGGCAACAATTCTCAGCCGAAAGGGGAATTCCATGGTTCCTTAGTTGAACTGCATTTCTCTCACACACATGAATTCAATTCCCACAGGTGCACAGCACTCGCAATGTATTCGTTCCTCTCTCAAGTCTCCCATTGGAACAATAGCCATTGTCCCCAACACTTAATCCACAATCCTTTATCTACAGAGTCTGTTCATGAAACTAATATAGGAAATGTAGTGTAATGGTCAATTTTTCATTTGAGCCATCTGGTGTCTGCTGGACAATGTCGTGTATCCAAGTGCTGAGGTGTGTTATTAAGCTTATGAAAACAAAGCAAATAAACCTCACAACATTATAAGAGGCTAACAAATGCTGTAAACTAGGCTTGGGTAAAAAAATATCGATATCTCGATATTAATCGATTCTCATTTTTATGGAACAATATCAATTCTTAAATCCCAAGAATCGCTGTATCGCTGTAGCGCCTCAGTTTAGCAGACGCAACGCGAGGCGCACGTGAACTGATCATCTCCTCCACATTAATACCAGTTTCAGCACAAAATAAACATGACTAAACATCCGAAGGTAAGTTAAAAGAAAGAGTACAACTTTACAATCCTTATCCTGTCTCATGTAATTGCTCAATCAGTGTTTCAGCCGCGCAAAGACATCAATATAACGGCTTGTAAACAATGTCACATAAAGTCACATTTACCTCAGAAAAAAACATTCGGTGACGATAAACTCTTTAGTCAGATAGAAAAATAAACTGTAGAGAGGGGAATTTTGCTAAATATATGCACCATATAACATATTCATTATAAATTTTACTGTTCGTCAATTTTTAATTCATGTTTGAATAAATTCATCAAGTTTTTATGACAGCCACCATTATGTTTTTTAAGTAGAAATATTATTATGTAATTGTAACTTTATTATTTTAAAAACTTAATTAAGTGTAATTTTAACAAATCAGTCAATTTTAACCTTCAATATTATAGTAACGTAGTACCAAACTCTCATGTATATTTTACAGCAATAGATGAGAGATTTTTTTCCTTGCGAAAATTTGGCATGTACTGTAGGCCTAAGTTACCTGATATATCTAAATACTCGATGTCGAATCGCAAGCTTGTGAATGAGAATCGAATCGCGAAATTTGTGTCAAAACCCAGCCCTACTGTAAACACAATAAGAAAGGATCTAATCTTAAGTATTAAAACACAAAAATAATTTAAAACTGTGCAGGCTAGTCCAGTTTAAGATGGTAGCTGTTTTTGAACTGGTAATTATGGTTGATCAGTTATCATGCCTACCAAAAATAGTTTGACCCCCTTAATATAACCAATAGCCCAATTGCAGGTGTGTTTATTGCTAGTCTTCCAGCTTGGACCAGATAATAACCAGCTATCATGTAACGGAATAAAAAACATCTTAAGATGGATTTTTCACCTGTGACTTGTGAACTACACCCAAACAAATGTGCAAGTTTCAGAGAAATGTCCAACCTCACCGCCTTGGATCGCACTGCAATCCGTGAAAACTCGTACTCAAAGCCGGGGATTGTTAGGCCGATGAATCACCCTTATGACAATGCTTTTCATCGTTTAAACCCCGTTCATCTACGATATATAGTGTTACTGCAGCTGTCCGTCTGCATTAGCCCGTGTACATCGCAACGTTACATCGAATGATGAAAGCGCGACTGCCGCGCAGGAACGTTTGCGATAACTCATTTAATATTACTCCTGTGTTTATTGGGTTATTTTAACAATAGGACGTTAACAATTTCCCGTACCTCTTGAAAACGCCGCAGACTCCCAGTCTACCGAGCATCTGCTTCGCTTCGCCTCGTTTTCATCTGCAAAATGAAATCAGCTTATGAAATGAACCGGCGCGCTGCGTCCGTGCGTCTGGTATTTCTATGGGTTTAGTTCATGCAGTCTCAGATGCCCCGAGACACAATGCAGTTATATTAATTAAACTGTTAAACATTATAAATAAACGCCCTAAGCATTAAATGCATAAACGAGTCTCCTAGATCGTTCACTTTATCGGTGAGCAACAATGAATCCAGTTTACATTGTTTATTTGTTTGTTAAATCATGCGAAGTCGCCTGGGCTGATTTAACCGAGATTTTTTCTTCTGAAAGGAACACTCTCACACGCTGTGAGTTAACACTATCGGCAAGCTGTGTTCGCTTTAGGTTTGTGGCTGACCTAATACACTTGTGTACTACTTTTTATTTCTCTGTCGGTGTAATTTTAGCAACCTACTTTTCCTGGAGGATCCAGCAGCGTCTGACAGAGGCCTGTGTGGGGCAGTCCAAACGCATGACGCCACATGGCAAGCTGTATTAACATTAACCTTTACACTAACTACGATCTATTTTTACATTAGAGTACAGTACATTCTTCTTCTTCTTTGGAATTTTTTGGCGTATTCCGCACCATAGGCACATACCGCCACCAACTGTTTCTGGTCATACATGGACGATAGTCCCGCCTCCATAGTACAGTACATTATTTTTCTATTGCTATTAAGAAGATAGAATAGATGCTGCATCCCAATGTGCCTACTTACACTACTCCCTAAAAGTATGTACTCTTTTGGTGAAGAAAAAGTACACACTTTCGAGTGTGTAGTAGAGGCAAGCTTTGGGACATACTATAACGTCATACAATTGCGTCTTTAACTGTCCGCTCTGTCGCATAATTACACACATCCTGTCACTGTAAACTAGCCTGTCAATCATCTTGTCACAGCATCCTCCACATTTAATTTCATTTAACTTTCTACCGTATTGGAGATAAATGAAGTAGCATGTTGATCTGCGAGCCGTGGGTCTTTATACAGAGAACTCTGCTCATATTTTTTGCATAATGATGCATTTAAAAGTTAATGGCCAAACGGATTTTTATAAAAGTTCACATTGTTGTTGTAGATGAAATATCCTAACACGGATAACATTAAATAATTTTTTTAACAGGTTAAATGTTGATTATTAGTAACTCAAACCCCTTTATCTAAACCTCTCTACTTAACCGTCGGTCGCGCACATCTGCCATGTTTGTAGTTTTTTAACGTTTTTTAATTAGTTTTTGTAGTTCTGAACTGAATAATTTGTCAGAGTGCAATGTGCAGGGGTGTTGATGGGTAATATTAACCATCAGAGTGTGACACTTATTTTAATCTCACATACTATTTAGGATGGATAGTATGAACATTGGGACGCAGGGAGAGTCTTTATACTTTTAAGTATGTATTATATCGTAGTGTTCTCAGACAAGGACGAGGCGTTTTGATGCACAAGGGGTGTTTATTTGGGCTGTTGTCGGCCACAACCCACGTCGTACACACCCCGATTTCTAAGAGAACCACACAGCCTATTTTCACAATTAACTCGAACATCCAATAACAGTTCGCAACACAAAAATAAATAAAGTGCAATGTTATCCACAACACAACATTTTGAACATGCTACACTATATTTAACTATTCACAAAGTTACGTTTTCCTTGTACAAATTAAATATACACTCGCTCCTATTTTACAGACATGTGTACTCAAATCACTACTAGTAAAATTCTAGTAAAATTTCAATTGAAGTTTAGATTGCTATTAAAATTACTAAATGGTTTAAATACATTTTATAGCTATTTATTTATATTAGATGCCATTGTGCCATTAAATACTACAGATAGATACTAGTGTCTCATAAATAAGTAGCCTAGTACCTATTATAAAATGTTATGAAAAACTGGAATAGGTACCAGCAAGAACTGGAATATATAATAGTTTAAAGTGAATAGTTGACATCTGAATGACTTCACTGACAAATATCTGCAATTAGTTTGGAATAGTTACTTGTCACTACTGAAATAGAGACTTATAGCAAATGATTAAATACTAGTAAGTAATGAGTAAATACATGTGATTAATTTAATGGTTCAGCTCAGCTACCAAATCTGACCTCAGAAGACTACAGAGGGTAGTCCGGACTGCTGAGCGAATCATTGGTACAACCCTCCCTTCTCTCCAAGAACTGTACTTATCCAGAGTGAGCAAAAGGGCTGGCAGAATCACTCTGGACCCCTCACATCCAGCACACTCCCTCTTTGAACTGTTGCCATCTGGTCGACACTACAGAGCACTGAGCACCAGAACGACCAGACACAGGAACAGTTTCTTCCCTCAGGCCATCCATCTCATGAACACTTAACAATAACTGTGGAACACACACTATTTATTCACTCATACACTTATTTATCTAACACTCATACTCAGTCTACACCTCAAATTTGCACATAATATACAGTACCTGTACATACAAAAACTGTCTATTGTAATATACCTGCACATACAACTGTCAATTTATATATTTTTATTCCTTATTTACTTGTTCTATTTTTTATTATCTGTGTTTTTTGTTCTGTCACTGTCATTCTGTTACACTGTGGAAGCTTCTGTCACGAAAACAAATTCCTCGTATGTGTAAACATACCTGGCAATAAAGCTCATTCTGATTCTGATTCTGATTCTAATAGATACTCACATTTGGAAAAAACTATAGTATCTGATAAAAAAACGTGATAGTACTAGTGAAACTGAAAAAGATACTAAGAGAAGTGACTATTGGATTACTTACTAATAATTTAGAGATGAATGAGGATTACTGTATACTAGTAACAAAAAAAAAAAGATACTAGTTCTTTTAAAGGAATACATGTTAAATTGGCTTGCCATAAATGTCAGGGTGTTGTGAAGCATATTTTGGGATACCGGCTGTGTGTGTCCCATATTGGAATGACATATGGTGGCAGTCCTTGTAAAGGAAGAGAGAAAGAGGGATTTATTTATCGCCTAGGGCAGCTTAAACCCGGGCATATCACTTGTTCTCAAAATGAAATGGAATGTTGAGCTGTCGTCAGTTGCACTTTCATAGATGAATCTATTATTTAACTCTTGGAGTTTATTCAATCAGCCAATGCTAAAGCAACTGAATAATAATCAAAACTGTAATCTGTATGAATAACAACATGCATGTACATTATTTTAAGTCTTTGTAGAAAGGTTACAAAATAAATTTTTGGGTCCAATTTCAACCAATTAACAGAACCTCAGACCTCTTGTGTCAAACCTTGAGATTTACTTGCCAGGTTTGGTTTTGCAAATAACCAATTATTACAACTTCATTTTTAATGATACTTACACAATGTGCTCCACTTTAACATCCTGCCTAGATAATATCTGCCCTCTCACCTCCAGGCCAGCATGTGAAACACCCTCCAGCGTCTGGCTCTCTGAAACTCTACGTGACCATCAGACTAAGCTCAAGGGCTCTTGAGAGGAAATGGCTGAAATGAACCATTATCAGTCTCTCTTCTCCTCTTTCTCCTTCAGATTTTCTGCTGCCAAGGTCAATTACTACCTGACAAGATCAGGAACACTTCAGACACCCACCCAAGCTGCTCTTGCCAGTCTCAGGGCTTCAGTAACCGAGAGCAGGGCAGTCTCAGTTGAGTGGCCACTTTTGAAGCCAGATTGGTTGTTGTCCAGGAGGTTGTTCTGTGTGAGAAACATAGAGAGTTGGTTGAACTTGCTCAAGTGTCTTTGCAATGAATGGAAGAAGGGATATTGATCTATAGATTTCTAAAAGTGCTGGATTTAGAGAGAGTTTCTTAAGCAGTGGGGGTACCCGAGCCTGCTTAAATGCTGTGGGAAATGTACCAGTGTGAAGAGAAGTGTTGAAAATGTGAGTGAGCATAGGTATAACTGAAGAAGAAATGGCCTGAAGGAGGTGAGTGGGGGATAGGATCAAGCGGACAGGTAGTATGATGATTGGAAAGAATACGTTTGGAAACGAGAGTGGAGAGAAGGAGGAGAGAGAGTGTGTATTTTTTGTTATGATGTGTTTGTCAGTTTGTGGTGTGGAGAATTGGCCGCTGATGGTTCTTGTTTTATTTATGAAGAATACTGCAAAGTCGTCAGCTGTAAGAGTTGATGAAGGAGGGGGGGAGGAGGACAAAGAAGTGAAGGTTTTGAAAAGTGTGTGAGAGTCAGAGCAACGGAGTAACTAACTTGTTGTCAGTGGAGCAGTAGTGTGTGTAGATAAGGTCCAAATGGTTACCTGATTTGTGAGTAGCCAAAGTAGACACTCGCTTGAGGTCAAATGAGGCAAGCAGAGTGTTGAAGTCAGTAGCCTGGGGTTTTTCTAGGTGGATGTTGGAGTCACCGAGTAGTACCAGAGGAGTACCATCCTCAGGGAAGTTTGAGAGTAACACATCCAACTCCTCCAAAAAGTTATCCAGTTGACCTGGTGGAAGATAAACAACTAAAACGTGATTTTTAACAGGGTGGGTAATAGGAATTGCGTGTGATTCAAATGAACTGTTGTCAGTAAGAGATGGTAAAGGATCAAATTTCCATTAATCTGAGATAAGTAGACCAGTACCTCCACCCCTCCAAATCGGGCGAGGGGTGTGGGAAAAAGTCAAATTGGAGAGGGCTGCAGGAGTGGCAGTGTCCTCAGGTTTAATCCAAGTCTCAGTTAGGGCCATGAGGTTGAGACTTGAATGAGTAGCAATAGATGAAATGAAGTCTGCTTTATTTATTAATGAGAAAAGAAACAAAACACTTACAAGCTGCTGTCCTCTTGTGTTGCTTGACTGCTTCTCCATAGGAAACCAACAATTTGGGAAAAGTTGTTAAGTTATTTTTATATCTTTTTTTTTTTGCCAATGTGTAGTTCTGTATCTTAATATTAA